ATGTATCTGACTCCACTACCACCGCCGGCAGCGCATTCCATGCACCCACCACTCTTTGTGTAAAGAACCTATCTCTGACATCTCCCCTATACCTTCCTCCAATCACCTTAAAATTATGCCCTCTCGTGATAGTCATTTCCACCCTGGGAAACGTCTCTGACTATCCACTCTATCTATGCCTCTCATCATCTTGTACACCTCTATCAAGTCACCTCTCATCCTTCTGCTCTCCATTGAGAAATGCCCTAGCTCCCTCAACCTTTCCTCAAAAAACCTGCCCTCCAGTCCAGGCAGCATCCTGGTAAATCTCCTCTGCACCCTCTTTAAAGCTTCCACATCCTTCCTACAATGAGGCAATCAGAACTGAACTCAATATTCCAAATGTGGTCTAACCATGGTTTTATACAGCTGCAGCATAACCTTGCGGATCTTAAACTCAATCCCCCTGCCAATGAAAGCCAACACACCATATGCCTTCTTAACAGCCCTATCAACTTGGGTGGCAACTTTGAGGGATCTATTGACATGGACCCCAAGATCCCTCTGTTCCTCCACACTGCCAAGAATCCTGCCATTAACCCTGTATTCTGCATTCAAATTTGACCTTGAATTAATCTAATATCAGCTTTAGCTTCTGTCACAAGGAATGGGAGTCCAAGATTATCTTTGAGGAGTTGGGGGATTTCCTCAAACATGCCCTCATCAACGACGGTATCTTGGTTTAGTAGTTCTCTATTGGAGGCTTATGTTTACTCTGTCTCCCAAAAGGGTTCCATCTTTACTCTGCACAGTTTGGTTAAGGATGCTGGGTCCATATATTTCCTTGGTGGCACTGAAGAAACTTGAACTGTCATGCTGGTCAGCGGGAGCTGCTTTCTCAGCCCACAAATGGTTCTTGATTTCCCTCATTCCTCATTGCAACTTGAACTTTGCAGATGGTTCTCTTCTTTGCCTCACTGGTAATGTTGTTTTGCCAGGTATGGAGATCTTTCCTCTTCTTGTTGATGATGTCTTGGATGGTGCAGCCATTCTCATAGAACTTGGTGTTTCCTGGTCTTGTAGCTGATTGTTTCTCCACATCATGAGATGATGGCTGTCTGCAACTCATTCCAGGTTTTCTCCACCCCATTAAAATGAACACTTGGGAGATTTTGGTGAAGACATTGTTGGATATTTGCAGGTCTGCTTAACTCTTGAAGCTGCTCAACATTCAGCTTTTCTCTGTACTGTTTCTTCATCTTCGGTTGCTTCTGGTGGCATTTTATGAGCCATGATCTGTCCAATAGTTGTCTGCACTGGTAATTGCTTTGGTAATGAGGACATCTTTTTTGGTCTCAAGATTGAATGATGATGTAGTTGATCATGTGCCAGTCCTTTGATTGTAGATGACTCCAAGAAGTCTTGACTTGTCTTTTTGCCAGAACAGTGTGTTGGTGATGACCAGCTGGTGTTTCGCACATTTGCTAAGCAGGAGAATCCCGCTGGTGTTGAAATTCCTGATTCCTTCCTTCCTGATGGTGCCTTTCCAGAGTTGGGCATTGTTTCCAACCCTGGTGTTGAAGTCCCCAAGGATGATTGTTTTATTTTCCTTAGGGATGTTGTTGAGTTTGGTGTCCATCCTTCCTTGAACTCATCTATGGCATCAAGGGTTAGAACATAGGTAGTCATGACTGTTGTCTGCTGTCTCTTGGCAAATTGTAGATGAAGACTCGTGAGGCAATCATTGATGCCAACTGGGAGCTCTGAGAGTCAGTTGATGAGCTTGTTCCTGATAGCAAATCCAATTCCATGTGTCTTGGGTTGATACTCAGTTTTCCTCTCCAGAAGATGTAATCACCACCTTCCTCCCTCAGCTGCCCTTCATCTGCTTTTTGAGTCTTCTGTGGGGTTGCAATATCAATGTTGGAGTACTTGGATTCACGGACAACAAGGGCTTTTCTTCATTCTGGATGATTGGTTTGCTCATTTTCCATGAGTGTTTGCACATTACAGGTTCCAAGATTGAGTTTGACTTTGGTTTTGATTTTCAAACCAGAGGTAGATGAACACGCTGGATACAATTTTCCAGCCAGCGTAGTGACAGAACAGCCCATTTTTAGGTCACGTTTTCTACCTCCTTCCCTGTGCAGGGTGAACAGAGTGGATCCTGAAGAGGGCTGCTCAGTTGTGAAGAAAGCTGCAGAAACGCTCTCTGGTTCCTATTCCAAAAGTGAAACGATTGTGTTAAACTCCACCAGCTATGTAGTGGTCCAAAGCTGGGGGCTTGCAGATCTCACGGTCCTGTCCCCATCATCTCTTGCACTCACCACAAGGCTTGTGTGTTGTGTGTGTGTCTGTGTGGGAGACAGATGTTAGGGTTGAATTCTTCTCGGTAGATGCCTTGTGCAGGATGTTGTTTAACATGGGAATGCTGTTGCACATCAGCAGACAGATAGTCCTTGATAGAAGGCAGTTCTGGTTCCAGTTTCGAGGAAACCGTGGGATCATTACAGTTGTTAATGTCCCCATGATCGCCATTGAGGACTTATTTTGGATTCCACTTGATTTGGTTTCCAGTGGCTGTTTGAAATGAGCAGAAAAATTCTGGGTGACTGTGAAACTTGATAATCATTGGGATAAGATTGCCACCTGGCTCTTCAGAGGGCAAGTTCTGCTTCAACAGATGACCCAGTTTGGTGATGATTGCTTGGGACAATCTTAATCCGTGCCTGCACTGTGTTTCTGAGAGTAGTAGAAAATGACAGCGTGGTCAGTAGATGCGGGGTCTGGTCATTCTGTTTTGCCTCCTTAGGGACTCTTCATCTGCTGCCCTTCTCTCTGGATGCTATGTGGCAGCCATTGGAGGTTGCTGTTCTTTCTGGGCTTACTGACAATATTGTAATTGCTCTCTTCTTCAAAGCTATCTTCACCTGTGCCATAAGGCCACAAAGAATCCAGCCAAGGATGCATGAGCCAATTTTCTTGGGGAATGTCAGAAATAGAACAGTACAGTAACACTACTCCTGAGCCCTCAAATCAATCATAATAACCTTGTGTCCTGATACAGTGTGGTACAGAGGATTCACAAGGAACTGAATGTCATGCCTCAATCAGAAGTTCTGCGGTATACAACCTTATCCAGATGCATGTTACAGAACCAAAATGTTGAACACCACAGAGCATTTCCTTGCATACTCATAATTCAATGTGCAAACGTGGCAATTCTGAAGCATTATCTTCTAGTATCAGGTATGAAATGTGATTCAGAAATAGTAAACCCAGGAGAGACTTTTAATTTAGCATCTGATTACATTTGTTTATCTGACTTGACAAGGAGGCAATTTGTGCAAACAACATTATGTAATGATCATTCAAGGTCATAATTTTTCATGTTAATTCTTACAAGAAGAATGACCTGTCAATTAATTGAATTTGATGCCAGATAAGTGGCATTATTGAAACATTAATGCAAATACCCCTAGCAGGGCCTCAAATTCAAAGAATTTTACTCTGCCCTGAAGAGAAAAAGTGTAACCTCTCTGCAAGAAGTGGCAGCCTTTATCTCATTATTGTGCAGTTGACTTTAGATCAAACATGGCAACGTTTCAACTTTGTGTCCTTGTGAGTTATTTGTAGGCGCCCCATGAAACATAACATGGCTCTCCCATCCATCCTTCATGTTCCCTTTGTGTTGCTGTCCCTGTGTCTCCGATGACCTCTATGCTAAAAAGCAATGCAAGCCACAAAGCGAGTGCTAAGAAAGCAAACTTAGAACCAGTAGTCATATCCCCTCTAATTGCATGTAACGCACGTGTATGTGCCTCTGTGTGAAAGCAACCTGGCATAACTTAAGCCATACGTGTGCTTGTCCCAAAGTGAAGTTCTTAAGGGCTGAAATGGTGAATGAATTGTTCTGAAAGTAGCCATAGTGATGTGTTGAGGCAGGTGGTTTGGATGAAGGGTAGAAGACAACAGTGCCCATGAAGCATACAGGGACTTTATGGTGAGTGATAACCTCAAGTAAGCAGCAAAGTGCCACCATCGGGTTACCACCGACTTTCACGTGAGGAATTGGCACCGCCTAGATTCTTGGGAAGGAGAGTAAAACTGGGAGCTACTCATCAAACAGCAAAAAGAAATCATTTGAATTTATAAAAAGAGTCTCTGTAATTACCAGTACTTTTCAGTAGGTGTTATGCCTATTGATAAGGTAGTTAATTTATCATGTGGGAACATAAGTAATATTATGAGTCGAATTGGCTAATAATGAGATGCAAATGCATGAAAATAATGTAGTCACTGCTTAGTGGAGAAATTCCAACATTGCCCACACAGCTCAAGGGAGTGGAAAATTCCACGCAAGATACTGTAACCAGGACAGAGATCTCACAAATCTAAGTCAGGCTGCTAAACTCTTCACAGGGATTCTCGATCATCACAACTGGTTTTACAATAAACCAATATTGCAACAGATACCCAACCAAGCATGATCTTGCCTTTATAGAGCCTCCCACGGTATATATTTATGGTTTCTTCTCCTAGTTTGTTCAGTCTCTAAACTGCTGATTTATCCCCTTCTCCTTTGTCTCACCCCATTTCTTCCCATATCAGAACTCTCTCTATCACCAACCTAACTCTATCCTGTCTTAACAATGAGTCCAGTCTGCAACTACAGATAACATCAGGTTAAGATGTTTCAATCAAGAGCAAACCATTGTAATCTGATCCCTTCTTCACCCATCAGCAAGCTGATCATGCCATTAGGTGAATATATTGCATTTGCATCAAGAGGACTTGAAATGAATCCCAGAGGATTCCCTTGGCCTGTACCTTCCAAATAGTTAGCAGTTTCATAGGATATTGGTTGAATACAGGAGATTCCAGGATCTGTGTTGTGTTTGTCACTATCTCAAGCATGTCCTCTGCAGTTACAAAACTTTTCTCACTACAAAATAGTACCTGATTTGTACTATAAGGAGAATATCCTTCACTGTCTGAAAGAAAAAGCCATGTCCTGTGAATTGGTTTCAAAGTGTTTATTCTTTTAAAATAAAATCAGCCTTCACCTGCAGCTTTTCATAGGATTTCTCAATATGTTTTGCCGAATTCTGAAAGGACAGGGGAATTGGACTGGAAATTATGTCCTGCTCTCAAATCCAATAGTGTGCTGAGTCTCCTTTCTGTCTGTTCATTCTGTTCCACTCCTGGTGATTTTCTTTGAGAAGCATTGACAAGTACACAGAGAGAGAGTTTTGTGAGAAAAGATTATGCTGTTTATCGTCTCTTTAAATCTGTCTCCACACATCATCAATTCAGAAATTGAGCTCCTAAGTATATTTATTGTAATGGAAAGGACATTCTCTCACCTGTGACAAGGTGGTCACAAGTTGCACAACTAAGTTCAAAGCCGCTGTTGCCCAGGTTTGGAAATGATTTCTGTTGAACTGTCATTGACAGCCATCATCTTGAGAGAGGGAGAAAAGGAGGGGAAGAAACGAAATCTGGCTTTGGGAGGGAAAAAAAGATATAAACTATCTTGAGCCTACAGGTGCAATATGATGAAATTCCACGCTCTATTGAATGGTTAGTAGTTTGACTGACATCCATGGGTAGGTTATCTTGGATTGTTACTTGTGTATAACATTTATAATGCTACTGTGGTGAAGATGCACATCAGTCAAAAACAATATTCAGCACAGTTTTAATTTAGTCACTTTTGGGACAAAGTTTAGGCCTCACTTAATTATTAAATATACACAATCCCATTCACTGCTATAAATTCCCACGTGATTGATAATCCTATTGCTCTACCCTGTGCCTCAGTCTTTTACGTGTAGAGCTTTTTGAATTCTGAAAAGTTTTCAGTTTTTTCTCCAGTTCCCTTCTCTGTGCCAGAATCCCTCCAAGTGTATGCAGGGTTTGTAAAACACAGGGGTCCTCAAATGAAACATCTGGAGCAGTGCAGATTTCTGTCAGATATTCAGACTTGTTTGAAGTTTGTGCTTTCATCTGAAAAAAGAAAGGAATACTTTTAAGGAAGAGTTTGCATTTACACCCACAGGATGATCACTTTTACTGTTGTTACTCAGCAGCTCAGTTGCACCCAGCAAATTTCAGCAGACTTATTGATAAATAATCAAGGGAATCAGTGCAGATGGGAATTTTTTTTTCTAATGACATAAAAATACTTAATTTTACACATGCATCCATCCATGAGAAGTCTGGAAATGACTGATTCACAAGTGCATACTAATGCATTTCAGTTGTCCAAGGAGACACTTACTTCGAGCTTCATCTCAATCTGTTGGGGGTTTGTAACAACTGTTTGTAAATGGTAATGATATATTCATGGACTAATAGTTATGAACTAATAATCAGGAGCTATGTTTAAATCCCACTGTGACAAGTGGGGAATTGAAGTTCAAATCTGGACTAAAGTCTTAGTAATAAGGATATCAATCATCATGTAATGTGGCACTGCCACTCTGCTAAATGGGATAGATTCAGATCAGATTGGACAACTTTAAACTGGGCATCACTGAGGTGCTGTATGTCTTTAGCAGCAGTAGGAATATATTCAACCACAATCTGCAATCTCATAGCCTGAAATATTCCTTACTATGGTATTACCAAGCCTAGTTCAATGAGCGTACAACATGCCAGGGAAGCACCATGCATACCCAAAAATGAGGTGACAATCTGGTGAAACTACAACTCAAAACTGTATTCATGTGGGAGTAACAAGTTATAGATAGAGCTAAGTACTCCAACAGATCAGGTCAAAGAAAGGTCTGTGGGCTTGTTATATCCAATCATGACAAGTAGTGGATCAAAACAAAAAACATGCCATGGGAGGAGGCTCAACAAAAATCTCCATTCTTAAAGATGTGGAAGCCTAGCCTGTTAATACAAAAGACAAAGCACTTGCAATCACTTCAACATAAAGTATTGAGAGGATGATGCTTCTTGGCCTTCTCCTGAGATTTTCAGCATCATGGGTGCCAGACTTCAACTAATTTGATTCACTCCAGGTGTTAACAAGAAATAGCCGAAGACACATATACTACAAAGGCTACTGACCATGACAACATCCAAGCTGTAGTGACATGTCCTTCAGAACTACCTTCACCCCTCGCCAAAGTGTACTAGTGTGCCCTCAACACTCTCATACATAAAACAACATGGAAAATTGCATGCCCTTTCACCTAAAAGCAGCCAAATACAATTATCACATCATCAGTAAACATACTGTCAATCATCAGCAAAATAACGGAAAGTGGCATTGACAGTGTTATCTAACTTAAACAGCAATAAGCTCAGTTTGGACTTCTCAACTCCAAATCTCACTACAGCTTTGGTCTAAATAAGCACAAAAAAAATGACTAAATTCTAGATATGAAGTGATTGAGACTAGTTTTAACAGTAAGGAAGTGGTTGAGTACAGAATCAAGAAAGCCTAGTAAAACTGAAGTCAATAGAAAGCTAGAAGAAAACACTATATTGTAGTGCAGTGTTTTCTAAACCTTTTCTTGGTATGACCTCATTAGACTCCATTTTAGTGCCTTAGACATTTTGTGTCCTGGGAAGTGGGGGAAGAGGGCTGGGCCTCCTCAAGCCAGTGTCACTAATATTGTGTAGAGCTGGATGAACACAGCAGGCCAAGCAGCATCAGAGGAGCAGAAAGGCTGACGTTTCGGGCCTAGATCCTTCTTCAGAAATACAATGCCTCAGGTACTGAAGCAGTTGCTATTCTTATGCAGTAAGGCCTGGACAACAGGTAGGCTTATGCCAATAAATGAAAAGCGATATTCATGTTGCAGAGGTACAAAGAGAATCTCATCATTTTTCTTTGATATTAAATGGTATTAAGATTACTAAGTCACCCAACATCAAGATCCAGTGGATCACTACTGACCAGAGATTAACTGGACCAGACACAAAGTGACACAGAATTCCCAATCTTTGTTCTGCTCCTCTAGCCACTATATTTGGACTGATGCTACTTAGTAAGATAAGGGCCCATGGTGTTAGAGGCAAGGTGCTAGCATGGATAGAAGATTGGCTGTCTGGCAGAAGGCAGAGAGTGGGGATAAAAGGGTCTTTCTCAGGATGATAACTGGTGACAAGTGATGTTCCACAAGGATCAGTGTTGGGACCACAAATTTTCACTTTATACATTAATAATCTAGATGAAGGAACTGAGGGCATACTGGCTCAGTTTGCAAATAATACAAAGATAGTTAGAGGGATTGGTAGTATTGAGGAGGCGGGGAAGCTGCAGAAGGGTTTGGACAAATTAGGAGAGTGGGCAAAGAAGTGGCAGATGGAATACAATGTGGGAAAGTGTGAGGTCATGCACTTTGGTAAGAATAGAGGCATGGACTATTTTCTAAATGGGGAGAAAATTCAGAAAGCTGAAGTGCAAAGAGACTTGGGTCCTCAAGTCCAGGATCCTCTCAAGGTAACTTGCAGGTTAAGTTGGTAGTTAGGAAGGCAAATGAAATGTTGGCATTTATTTTGAGAGGACTTGAATATAAAAGCAGGGATGTACTTCTGAGGCCCTATAGGCTCTGGTCAGGCCACATTTGGAGTATTGTGTGCAGTTTTGGGCCCCATATCTCAGGAAGGACGTACTGGCCCTGGAGCAGGTTCAGAGGAGGTTCACGTGAATAGTCCCAGGAATGAAAAGTTTAACAAATGAGGAATGTCTGAGGACTCTGGGTCTATACTTGGAGTTTAGAAGGATGGTGGGGGGGGGGATCTAATTGGAATTTACAGAATACTGAATGGCCTGGACAGAGTGGATGTTGGGAAGATGTTTCCATTGATAGGAGAGGCTAGGACCCAAGGGCACAGACTTAGAATAAAGAAAAACCTTTTAGAACGGAGATAAGGAGAAACTTCTTTAGCCAGAGAGTGGTGAATCTATGGAACTCACTTCCTTAGAAGGCTCTGGAGGCCAGGTCATTGAGTATATTTAAGACAGAGATAGACAGGTCCCCGATTGTCAAGACGATCAAAGATTACGGGGAGAAAGCAGGAGAATGGGGTTGAGAAACTTATCAGCCATGACTGAATGGTGGAGCAGACTCAATGGGCTGAATGTCCTAATTTCTGCTCCTATGTCTTATGATCTTATACACCTGATGCTCAACAGCCTTTCCATCATCTCCAAGATTCAAATCAGGTGTGTGAAGTGGAGTTTCTCTAAAGGATCCAGTGAAATGTTTTCAAATTGTTTCACCTCAAGTCCAGAAACAAGGCCATCCCAACCTTTGTCATAGAGTTATATAGCATGGAAACAGACACTTCTGACAAACCAGTCCATGCCGACCATAATCCCAATCTAAACTAGTCCCACCTGCCAACACTTGGCACATATCCCTCTAAACATATTTTATTCATGTACTTATCTAAATGTCTTTTGAATGTTGTAACTCTACTTGCATCCACCACTTCCTCTGGAAGTTCATTCCACACACGAGCCACTTGCGTTAAAAAAATTCACTCTCAAGTCTTTTATAAATCTTTCTCCTCTCACTTTAAAAATATGCCCCTTAGTCTTGAAATCCCCTATCCTAGGGAAAAGACACCTGCCATTCACCTTATCTATACTCTTTATGATTTTACAAACCTATATAAGGTCACCTCTCAACCTCCTATGCTCCATTGAAAAAAAATCCCAGCCTACCCAGCCTCTCCTTACAACTCAAACTACTGGCAACGTTCTAGTAAATCCCTTCTGAACCTTCTCCAGCTTAATAATACCCTTCCTAGAACAAGGCATTGAATTGCAATATGTAAATGATGCTTGTAAATGTGCACACTCCGTGTTCAAACTCCAAACCATTATTGATGCATTAGTGGAGGCCAATGAAAGAACAGGCCTTGGGTTAAACACATCAGAATCTTTTCTGGGTGGGAGTTGGAAAATGCACCATACCTTTACTGTTTTCAGTCTTCTCATCAGGAAATGTAGACAAAAGGCCAAAGGAACAATTCCAAGAAATCCAATGAAGTACAACCATTCCTGGGCTTCAGTCTCACTTTCAAAGCAAACGTTGTTCATAGGGTATGGCAGGCAGTACTGAGATTTAGGTTTCAAGCTAATGCCCAATATATCTTTTAGCAAAAAATCCATCATAAATCTTTATGAATGCAAATGGATGTCAACTGGGGACAATAAATTAAACAGATGACACATGTATGATTGAATAACTGTGACATGTTCAGGAGAAGGATAAAGTTAGCTGAAAAGCTTTTGGCTCCCATTGCCTGGTTGCTGGGTAGGGAGGATATGACATCACAAAAGAGCATTTTGTTTGCTATGATCACGGCAATATCACACTGAACGTACTTGCCTTTGGTGAATATTGCGAGATTGATTCCGAATGTGAGGGGATTTGGTATTCAGACACTGAATAAACTAGACCTATCTTCCATGGAATTTTAAAAATGACATGATATAACTGAAAGATGTAAAAGTTTTAAGGGGCTTGAAAGTGTAAATGCTGATGTTCCCTCTGTCTTAGAATAAGAGGTTATCTATTTAGGACTGAGTGATTGTGAATCTTTGGAATTCTCTATCCTAGGAAGTTGGGGTTTCTCAGTTGTTGAATATTTTCACAAGAGTTGATAGATTGTTGGGTACTAAGGGATACAAGGAGTATGTTTGAATAAAGACCTTTGTACACTGTGGCTTACCATACACATGATCTCTCATATCATGAAATGTCACGGATGTAAATAAAGTTTTAGGACAGTAGCTAATTTATACTCCACATGAACAGGAGGTCAGAAGTGTACAGCTTGGATTCAGCATATTTTCACAACAGAGAGCAAGTAGCTGCGAAAAACAACAGTGACTTAATTCTGAGATAACAAGGTGTAGAGCAGATGAACACAGCAGGCCAAGCAGCAGGAAAGCTGACGTTTCGGGCCTAGACCCTTCTTCAGAAATGGCTTAATTCTGAACCCTTATACAGGAAATTGGCAACTGTGTAAGTCATAACAACTATGAATATTCCAGCACATAGTCCTGAAGAAATGAAATTATATTTGAGACTGAGTTGCAAATTCTTCCAGTCTTAGAGGCAGAATTATGCAATTGCCACAGAGTTGAGCAAGAAACCTGTAAAAGTACAAGAGTAGCAACTCTGTTATCAGTATTAGAGGAAGCTTGGCACCCTAGATCTCAGCAGAGAACCAAACCAAACTTACAGTTTTTGAGGCCTCAAAGACCCAATTTAAACACTCTGCTCATGTTATTTATAAATGCTATGTGTTTAACACTAGACGTCAGGAAGACAAGAAGAATACTGACTGTAATGTGACTGCAAGGAAATGTCTAGTTGAATCTTATGAGTTAGGGCAACTGAAGGATGATTGCATCAGAGATAAGATTGTCTTAGAAAGAAGTGATTCTGCTTTGTGCGTATGTCTACTGAGAGAAGAGAAACCTATTACCAAGGAAACTGTTGATGTGTAGAATCTCTGAAGTGTTTACTCATCGACTGAAGTGTATTGATGGGAGAACTGATGAAATTATGTACTATGTTGAGAGACAATCCCAATCTTCCAAGCACAAGACAACTGAAAGGAAGGATGATTGGAGGAAAGGACAACATAAAAATCCAGGTTTGAGTACTGGATTTAAATACAAGGAGGACAACACAAGAAAGAAAAGAAAGTATGTTTAGCACAGGGAAAGCAGACTGTAATTGCAACATGTTGAATCACTTTACATGCAAGGATTTTGCGAGAAAAAAGAAAATTAAACTGATAAAAGATAGTTGCTGGAGAATTATCAGCTGTTGATTCTGACAAATTACTCTACATCCTAGAAAAAAGTTAGTGTTGTATTGTCACAAGGCGAAAAAATCTGACAGTATTGAAATGATGATTCCAGAAGCGCATGAAGTTAATCAAATTAAACTGTGCTTGCGCAACATCACAAACTTCACAGACTTTTGTGAATTTTCTCAAGATGATAACCTGGAAATTAAGTTGTAAAAGGCAATGTTTAGACTCCATGATGCAGAGGAAGAGCAAACTAAGTTAGTGTCCAATAAAATGGAAATGAAGATGAACTTTAATTCTACATAATGGGTACCAAGCAAAATTCTTGAATTTCAATAGATAAAAACTGTTACAGATAGGGAGAGAGGTTCATTTAATTATTTTACATTTGTCCTTTTCTGTTCGTAAGTGGAGGAATTTAAAACAAAATTGTATTTACTTTTCCTTTTGAAATAGGCTACAGTGTATTTACCCCCCATCCCAAGACCTCTGTTGGTGCTTCTTAATTTTCCACTTGTCCCACAATATACACTGTAGAATTTAAAAGAAGGGTAGGTTTCTTATACGTTAAGTCCCAGGCTATGGATGAAGCTCTGAATAGGCCTCTTTACCCTCACTGGAACAGATTACCTTGTTAAAACTAATTACTATTACATAGAAACAGAAAATAGGAACAGTAATGTGCTATTCAGCCCTTTGAGCCTTCTTCACCATTCAATTTGATCATGGCTGACCATACAACTCAATACTGTGTCCTCGGTTTCTTCCCATAGCCTTTGATCTGTTTAGACCTAAGACATATATCGAAGTGTCTCTTGAAAACATTCAATGTTTTGGCATGAACTGCACTCTGGTGCACAGAATGCCACAGTTTCACAACCTTCTGAGCGAAGAAATTTTCCTCAGCTCAGTCCTAAATGGCCCACTGCATATCTTTAGACAGTGATGCCTGGTTCTGGAAGTTCAGACTGCTGAGAATTAGATCAGCTGATGTTAATAACTACCAGTGAGACTTTAGAATGCCTGAAAGAGCATTTCAATTGCCATGGCATTCCTAAAATGATAAGCAATAACAAGCCTCAATCCATGAGTTAAGACATTTAATAATTGCTCGGAAAATTCAGCACTACACATCCTCTCCACACTACACCCAGTCAGAATGGAACAGCTAAGGCAGAAGTTAAAATTGTCAAAGGGTCATCAAAAAATATATTGGATTCAGCATAACTGTGTACAAGGGGTATTCTTAGAGGGAGAAATAAACCTACTGAAGCACAAAGTAGTCCAGATCAGCAACTAATGTCATGCTGCGTGCCCCTTACAGCAGCATGACTGAAGCCAGCAGCAGCAACAGTGCATGACAAGATCAAAGTAAAATGACAGGAAGCTAAATTCCACTTTGATAAAGGTGACAAATCAGTGCCAATGTTAGAAAATCATCAGAATATAAACATTCAACACATTCAACAGAAGTCAGTCCCCTTGGCAATTTGAGACTTGAGACAGAAGTCGTCATCTTAACTTTATATTGTGAAAGCCAATGACCCCCAGATCTATCATTGCAACTACATATGGAAACATAGCTTTTCTAGTTGTATCTCTTCATATGAAACAACTGATGAAGGAGATTTGATTTGTCAATTGAACAAGGTACTAAACACCATCAGTTCCAGGGGTCAACATTTCTCCAAAACAAATTATACACAAAGTGTTCGGACATATCATACCTCTATATCAGACAGGACTTTAATCAGCCCCTAGAGGACCCAGAGGTATACACTACCACTATGCCATAAGACCCTCATTCCCAAAAATGCAATGGATTTACAGCACCAATTATCACAGCTGCCACTGTAGCAATGTTCCCTAGAAAAGTAATGACACACCAATAACCGCTGACACCACACAAATGGCCAAAAACAACAATTAAAATACATGAATGATTTAAAGATTTATGTCCAATACAGGTACAGGGACAGGCAAAATTGGGGCTGACTAGAAAGGCCAAAGATTTCCCCCCCCGCACGACAATTTTCTTTATGGATTACGTTCATAACTTGCAAAAGATCTACTCATGCTTTCCTTTCTTATATTCTTATTGTGCATGCAATTTTTTTTAAATGAAAGATTAGATTGTTTGAATGAATATCTTTTGCAGCTTATGATGCATCATATTCATGTGACCTATATATCAATATATAAATATTTTAGACAATATACACACCACATGGAACAGAACGATTGAGACTGAAGAAGTGAAGGTAAATCAGCCATGATCTAATTGAAACGCGGTTCGGGTTTCAAGGGCTTCCAATTTCTGAAAATGTGTGACACAACCACATTTTACCTTGACATCACATCGACCGTTATGTCAGGTGATGTCTCCACGCATGACGCCTCGGTCGTGGCTCCCAGAATGCTTGTCGTGCAGAAAGTGGACAGGGATCTCCATGGGAACGGGGCCTAACGACAAAGAGAGAGATATGAAACTACACATCTCCAGTACTGAGTAGAGAAGTTAGAAAAAATCGAGCCGACAAGAACAGTGAGCTGGTCTGGGGAAGAGTAGCGACAAACGTGGATCGATTCCGCGTTCAGCTACCGGGCGATGCTCGGCGCTTGGGAATCGGGGAAGGCCCGTGAACGGGACCAAAGCTAGGGGGTATTGGATACAGTGGAAATATAGTATTTTGTTGTGTTTCATGACCGAGGAAGACCGGGCCCCATCTAGACTATAGATTCCACCAGCATCATGTCATTCAGAGACCTGAGGAGTAAGGATAATTTTCATGTCTGAGAATTTAGGCTGTGGGTAGACGTAGCGTTGGTTTTACACAGGTTCGGGTTCAGTAGGTCTGCTGTTTACCCCTGGAAGATCATCATCTTTGTATATTATTTATATTCAGAAACAGCCTCGATCTTTTAAACTGTAGAATAGACAGAGCTACGGAGACAAAAATTATCTTTGATTATATAGTTTCTCCTATACTATTTGCCCTGGGCTGAATTTTGTAGTTTATAGTGAGAATAAGATTTACTTTGCATTATCTCCAAGATCATTTCTTACACCATCCTCTGTTTTGTAAAAGCAGGCTGAGGAGCACAATAATTTGCCATTAGTTCCATATTGTGTGGATGCAGCAATTATTAGTACTTTCTCAGGCTTGTCAATATTAATCCTCAAAACATTATTTAAGAAGAAAACCTCAGGAATCAGTGTACAAATGTAGTTTGATACTGCAAGAATAGAGTATCCTCCTGAGAAGTGCAATAATGGGAAAGTTTCAGAAATTAGCACCTCCAAGCTGCTAATTGACTAATTTATGTATAAACACCGATGACCTATTGTATTTCAGACTTCACCGAGATGATGAGGGCTCTGGGCTATCCCCGTTTGATCTCTATGGAAAACTTTCGGATTCCGAATTTTGCTTTGGTATCAGAGATTCTCATTTGGCTTGTTAAAAGGTTTGTGATCTTACAAGTGTATAAAACACATCATATCTAATTAAATAAAACCAAAAGAACTGCGAATGCTGTAAATGAGGAACAAAAATAAAGTTGCTGGAAAAGCTCAGTAGGTCTGGCAGCATCTGTGAAGGAGAAAACAGAGTTAACGTTTCGGGTCTGGAGACCCTTCCTCACGGTTTAGCTTTCTTTTGAAAAGTACACTGAATACCTTAGTTATTCAATATGTGTGGAATGAATTATGAAGGTTTTGGTATCAAATCCACTTTGGTGTCTGCACCGCTAACCAAGGCTGTATAGTTTATTAGCAGTACTGTCTGTTTGGAAAATTCACCATTTTTCTCTCAAACAGCATCAACATCTTCTGAAATATCTGGATGTTCATCTTGTTTGATCATTTTATGCTATGTGCAAATTGGCTACAGCATTTGTCTACATAAGAACATGAATACATATTAAAATGACTGCATTTGTGGCCAATGGCACTGCGAGATGAAAAACCACGTGCAGCTGCAAAATCACAACATCAATGCATGAATGTATTTCTGTGGTTGGTATAGTAGGCCATTGCAGAGAGGGACTCATCTAGAATATTCCCAGTGATTTTGCTTGTATTAATGGAGTGTTTAGATTGAAAATTTTGCACCAACTCTTTACTTTTATGATAAGACTGTTTAAGACATAATAAATGAGAAATCTTAGCAAACCTTATGGCACAAGTATGTTACTGTAACACTCTCATCCTTCAGCTGATGTGCAGTTGTTCATTACGTCTTTTCATTACAATTCTAACTAATCCTGAAATGTAGAGTACGATATAGAAAAAAGGGAGTGCAGATAATTCCGATCTTTGGTCTGTTGAGATTTAAAATAAGTAGTTTGTTCTTGCTGGAAAGCATGAGATTTGGATTCTGCTGCACTACATTTGTTATAGTTGACAGAGTATACCATCACCTTCCATTTTAACTGTGTTTTGGGGATATCCTTAAAAGTTTTAAGTTCATTTAAAAGGGAGAGAGGTTGTGAAAATAGTACACTGGAAAGTAACTTATCTTACTTGGATCTTGTTTTATCAGATATGAGCCCCAGACAGATATCCCAACAGATGTAGATACAGAACAGGACCGAGTTTTCTTCATCAAAGCTGTAGCACAATTCATGGTAAGCAGCAAATAGCTCTTCCTCAGCCTGGTGTGTGAAAACTGTAGGACAGCATGAATCTGGGATGAACTCCAGAAACCTGCAGTATGTTTTGTGAATATATTTGCTTTGTATTGCAGGCAACTAAAGCTCACATTAAGCTCAATACTAAGAAGCTATACCAGGCTGATGGATATGCGGTGAAAGAGTTGCTGAAGATTACTACCGTTCTCTATAATGCTATGAAAACAAAGCGAATGGACACAAGTGAGGATACAGAAGAAGACAGTTCAAAATTCAAATTTGACTTGGGGTCGAAGGTGAGTAATGCAAATTAATTCCTCATTCAGGACAATATTAGCACAAATGTTTGTTGTTTGAGCAGTACTATACAAGAGAACCTAAGGGCAAATTCAGCAATGCCCCTCTGCCACCGAAACCGATTCTCACTAGACCATCCCTCAGGACCAGGGCTATTGTTTTCTAGCCCCATCTCTGACTCATTACCCTTTCCAGTGAAATTCTGCTCCACAGGAGCTTTGCCTTTTTGAATTTGCACTGTATTTTGACTGAGAGTATGTTTAACAATCTAGCTTTACTGTTCCATCAAAGTGTTGCCGCAAGGTCAAATTAGCAGTTCAACACCCAACCATACTGGGAACTTAAGTGAAACTTTCATTTTGGCCTACAGCAGTGAGATATTTTAATCCTGACCATGTGGTAAATGTGTGTTATACACCTGTTACAAACCCAATGATTTGCTCCTGGACACTACAAAATATATAAATAAACCCTAACAGTGCATGGTTGGGGAATTTTGGTGCTAACATAGAGTCTGTCTTCATGATGTAAACTGCCCTTAATAATATTTGAAGAGAGATGTATTGTAGCTTATATTTTGCATCTTCTCACCTATTCCAGATATCAGATTTGAAAACTGCCAGACAACTAGCCTCTGAGATTACCTCCAAAGGAGCAACAGTATTTGATTTGTTGGGAAAAGAAGTAGGCCTGAGGGTGAGTCAGCAGGTTTCTGATCAACTAGCAACTGACAACCGGAAGATAACAATATCCCCGAATAAAAGATAAATTGTTTTACTGTGTTCAGTATAAATTTGTGACACTAGTTCAAAAATGTCAAAAAACTTGCTGCAGTTTGTGTGACCATGATAGAGAGGACTTGCTTCTGAACTTTTGAATATCAAGTCACTGGTGAACTGACAATTCAAAACCGCAACAAAACGCTGTGGATTCTGAAAATCAAAATAAAACAGAAAAATTGGAACCCTCAGCAAGCTAGGCACTATCTCTGGAGAGGGAAACAGAGTTAACATTTTAGGTTAGTGCTTACTGGCTCACTTCAGAGAATTACATAGAAATTACAGTGAGGCAAAGGGTATCAACCAACTGGCCTAATTCTGGAATTTATGCTTGTCAGGAACCTCCTCCCACTATTTACTTATCTCACCTTTTTGACATAATCATTTCTCTGTAATCCAGTTGTCTGACTTCCCTTAAAATGTTTCTCTGCTACGTAGTTACTTTAAATGGAGCTGAGGTACATGCTAGTGGGACAGAACTCCCAACATATGAGTTTGACCCAGCTAGCAGCAGTTGAGAACTGAAGACGATAGTTTTGCTAAAACCTATGAGCTGGCTGACACAGTAACAGGGGCTGGATTTTCACCTCCCATTGTAAGTGCACGTTGTGTAGTGAAATATTGAATTTTTAAAAAATATATTATTGTCTGCTTCTTTGACCCTACAAAACTTGTATATTGTCAGCATGGTTCCAATGGTCTTCAAGCTTCCTGAAGATTTGCTCTCCCATAATGGTGGCAGAGGCCTCAGAGTTCACTTCCATCTGTAATGCCTTTCTGTTTACCAATAACTCCATCGTGATCAAGGCCACTTTTCTCGCTTTTACACTTGTCAGACATAACTGTCCCTGTCACCTCAGGACCATCACCGAATGGTACACAGACACTGTACTGTTTGATTTGTTAGGCAGGCTTTGTGTATTTTTTGTTGTATGATTTATATTCTGTACCTTCCTCCTCTAGCAAGTATGCTTGAACTTATGCCTCAAATAGCCTTTTGTTTGGCACCTGAAGCATTTAACTTCCCTAAATCTACATAGGTCTGTGAGGTGGCTTCACCCACATCCGAAACACACTGCTTATTTGGGGTCTACCTGAGGCTGTTGGTTTAATATTCTAAATGTTCCTGCTCTTCCAGTTCCCACATTCATTTAAAAACCGAAAGAACTGCAGATGCTGTAAATCAGGAACAAAAACAAAGTTGCTGGAAAAGCTCAGCAGGTCTGGCAGCATCTGTGAAGGTAAAAACAGAGTTAATGTTTCGGGTCCGGTGACCCTTCCTCAGAACTGATAGTGGCTGGGAAAAAGTCAGTTTATACGTGGGTGGGGTAGGGAGTAAATGATAGGATATAGCCCAAAAGGAGAGAAAGACAGTTGGGCAGACAAAGGAGTTGCTAACGATCAGACTGGGAGGGTGAATAGTTGTTAATGGGCACTGTTAGTGACCAACAGGGGGTGTGTAATGGCAGGCTATGTGGTAACAAGGCCTGGTGTGTGGGGTAGGGGGCTGGGACATGGGAGAGTTTGGGCCCTAAAATTATTGAACTCAATATTGAGTCTGGAGGGCTGTAGGGTCCCCAAGCGGAAAATGAGGTATTGTTCCTCCAGCTTGCGTTGGGCTTCGCTGGAACACTGCAGCAAGAGATGTTGGCCAGGGAGCAGGGTGGTGTGTCAAAGTGTGTTAAAATCCACAAACAGGACTGCCTGGGCAGACCCATTGTTTCAGCCTGCTCGTGCCCCACAGAACTCATCTCTTCCTGCCTTGACTGAGTCTTCTTCCCCCGGTCCAATCCCTGCCTACGTATATCCTTGATTCCTCTGACGCCTTACATCGGTTTCAAAACTTCCAGTTTACCGGTTCCAGCCACCTGCTCTTTACCATGGACGTGCAATCCCTTTACATGTCCATTCCCCACCAGGAGGGTCTTAGGGCTCTCCGCTTCTTCCTGGAGCAAAGACCTGAACCATCCCCACCCACCAGCACCCTCCTCCGCTTGGCTGAGTTTGTCCTCCCCCTCAACAACTTCTCTTTCAATTCCTGTCATTTCTTCAGTTAAAAGGGGTTGCCATGGGTACCCCCTTGGTTCCTAGTTATGCCTGTCTCTTCATGGGGTATGTGGAACATTCCTTGTTCCAGTCCTGCTCCGGCCCCCACCCACAACTCTTTTTCCGATACATCGATGATATCATCGGTGCTGCTTCTCTCTCTCGTCTGGAATTGGAAACTTCATTAATTTCGCCTCCAATTTCCACCCTGCCATCATGCTCACCTGGTCTACCTCTGACTCCTGTCTTCCATTCCCTCCCACAACAGCGATGGGGTTCCACTTATCCTCACCTACCATCCTACCAGCATCTACATCCAGAAGATCATCAGATGCCATTTCCGCCACCCCCAGCAAGAAGCCACCACCAGACACTTATTCCCCTCCCTTCCCTTGTCCGCCTTGTCCCTCCGGGACACCCTTGTCTACACTTCCTTCACCCCCAACACCTCCCTACAGCCCTACGGCACCTTCCGCTGTAACTGGCGAAGATGCAACACCTGTCCATTTACCTCCTCCCTCCCCAGTATCCAAGGGCCCAAACATACCTTCCAGGTGAAGCAACACTTCACCTGCACTTCCCAGAATCTAATCTACTGCATTCGCTGCTCACGATGTTGTCTCCTCTACACCGGGGAAACGAAGACTAGACTTGGCAACCGCTTCACAGAACATCTACGTTCTGCTCGCAAAAAAGACCCTGAACTACCTGTTGCCTGCCACTTTAACGCACACCCTGCTCCCTGGCCAACATCTCTATCTCTGGCTTGCTGCAGTGTTCCAGCGAAGCCTAATGCAAGCTGGAGGAACACCTCATTTTCCCTACAGCCCTCCAGACTCAATATTGAGTTCAATAATTTTAGGGCCTAAACTCTCCCATGTCCCAGCCCCCTACCCCACACACCAGGCCTTGTTACCACATAGCCTGCCATTACTCTACGTGTTTTTAGTCACTAACAGTGCCCATTAACAACTATTCACCCTCCAGCCTGATCGTTAGCAATTCCTTTGTCTGTCCTACTGTCTTTCTCTCCTTTTGGGCTCTGTCCTATCGTTTACTCCCTACTCCAGCCACCTCCCTGTTTTCTGCATATAAACTGACATTTTCCCAGCCACTATCAGTTCTGAGGAATGGTCACCGGGCCTGAAACATTAACTCTGTTTTTACCTTCTCAGATGCTGCCAGACCTGCTGAGCTTTTCCAGCAACTTTGTTTTTGTCCCTCATTCATTTCCTTGCTTTTACCAGTGTCTTCACTCCGAGTGCCACTGCTGCTTGTGGTTTCCCATCCTAACTGGTGAATTATGGACCTCCTGTGTTCTCTTTCCATGCTGTCCGTGACTAAAGCAATCTCTAGCGATCTTTTTTATATGAATTTTTGATTTTACTGAAAGCTATTTTATGGCTTCATCATTAGTGCAACGTACTAAGCAATCTCTTGGCATCACATTTAACACAGACTTAAAGCCGCAATGCTCTGCAATCTCCTTGAGCCTCACCAATGAAGGCTGCAATGGTCTCCCCTAGGGCCCTCTTGGTCAAATTAAACTTGTAACACTATAAAATTACTGGGACCTTGGGGTGGTAGTTCCGTCTGAGTGACTCTATGATCTCTGCAAATGTTTTTGTAACAAGGGAATTCAGGGAAGTTAAGCTTCAAATTGGATTGTATGTTTGTGTCCCACATACAGCTAACAAAATGACTATGCATTTCTCTTCGCCCTCAATTTCATTGTCACAGATAAGGTTTTAAGCATTCTACATACAGGGTGTCCCTGATTGACAAAGGTCCAACTTACGAACGTGATACCATACAGGGGTTTGTTAATATTAATTTTAAAGATCTGACATGTGAATGTTTTGCTTACTTGTGAATGGCTATTTTATATTGTTCTGCGTTGTGTTCCGACTTCCATACAAATTGACTTCTGAATGGACCCAAGAATAGAATCTGTTTGCAACCCAGGATCTGCCTGTATTGTATCCATATTTCGAGAGCCAGGTTGAGGAGGAACAGCTCTAATTTTTCTGAAGAGAGGCATTTGATTATTCTTTTCTTTGACAACGACTTATTCTGCAACTTTGGTATTCTAACTTTTTTCTTGCAATCTGAGTTGCTGGCCTTTACCTCCTCGTCAATGTAATCACTTAAAAGCTTAGCTTTGCTGGTTATCTTGCAAAACATGATTTAATACAACCATAAATCTAATTTACCGAGTACATCACACAGTTTATGCATGCCATGCTCCCCATTCAACGGCTGGGCAAGTCCCCACATGCCTGTGCGCACCCTGTCCTTGATTGGACTGGCAGGTCACATGACTCCTCCCTCTGTGTTCACCTCTGAAAGAAGCCAACTACTATAAAATGTAAAAACAAAATCCTGTCAGAATCTACTGTCCATGTTTTGTATGCAATTTGAAACAGTTGACATACCGATTTTTTTTCTTAAAAGAGTCTGCTTTTGAAAGTTGAGAAATAAATCACTTCACCTGCTGGTTTCCATTGATTAATAGACAGTCTGCTTTGGAAATGAAGTGGGGTATCAGTTTTGCCAGTTTCAGACAATGTTGTTATAAGTATTTATGATGACAGCTGTAGCCATTATGAATGCTTAGCTGGGCTTTAAATGATCTACAGTTAATCCTCTGTAACTGCACATGCATGAATCACAAATTTGCCTATCTGTGTCAAAAAATAAGTAACAACAAAAATGAACATCTGTGGGCAAAAATTGCATAGGCACGATTTTAAAACTACTTTTAAGTGAGCTCCACACTCATGAATTTCTTCATTCACAGGGGTTCTCAGGGATGGAACCCTCACGGATATAGAGGAATGACTGTCATGGCTTCAGCTCAGTAAGTGGTCCATTGATTCAAGAAAGCTTGAAACTTTTAAGAGGTTTCAACACGGAAGATGCCTTTGTGGATTACATTATTTTATAAACTGGAGTTTTCTCTCTTGCAGTATAAATGCTAGTGTGTTTGAATTCAGGGTTTTGATCAATTGCTAGCATTTATTTTTTCCCAGTTATTTTGAAATAACTCCTTACGTATAGCCTTGCATACTGCAAGGTAGATGACTACGGAGGAAGGAGAGGTGACTTGGGGGATTTGAAAGGAAATGGGGCAGCACAGAGGTGGCTGTGTGTGAGGTTAAAGGATCATTAACCCATGGAGCACCAAGGAGGTCCTCTAACTGGCTCACAAAATGCACTGTAAACCTGACCCCTGTGTAAATGACAAAATTCCTATGCTAATTCATAGTATGTTGAGTGTGTATTTCAGATGAGCAATGTTGAGTAGGTTGGGTTTTCCCAAGCCCATGCAAAATTCTGTGCCAAGTCTCAGTGCACTACAATGTTATTAATACTTCGGGGCTCCTAGTAGCTGAAGGAAACACAGTTGTCTATCCAAATGAGTTCCTACTGGAGTGCAGGCATATCAAAAGGGACAATATTGTCAAGCAAGCTATTGTCTAGCCTTAACTCTAGGCATTTTTTTTTTTGTATTTGCATTGTTAATTTTCTACTTAGTGAAGGTATAGCATCTCAGAGGATTGAAATTGCACGGCCCATTAAGCTGTTTAAGTCCATTGTTCATTTATTAAAAAAACTTCTGTGGAATTAAGCCATATTGTTGCCCCTTTGACATTATGATGTCAATGCTATTCTTCTTGTATCATGATATCCCAAAATCCTGTTCTTTCCAGGAAGGCTTATAATTGTTTGTCAACTTCATGGATACAAATTACTTCAGCACCTTCTTCTACAACTTCACTACCCGTAGACAAGACCTCAGAATATGAGTTTAAGATATGTCAACATAGAACCGGCACAGCTGTTGACCAGAAATAACCTCTTACAGAGTTAATCAAGCTTGGGAACAATTTAATGCCTCAAATAATGAATCAAGATTCTCTGCACATATTCCAGAGGGATCTGGTCGGGCTTTTGAGTGTTATCCACATAATCTTCTGGAGGAGACAAATGGAGATTCGGGGCATTATCCCTCTGTCACTGTATAAAGAGATGGGTAGAGATTTTTTCTTTGTTCTGTCATGGCTTTTGGCCAGCATTTATTGCCCGTGCCCAATTGCTTTTAAACAGAGTAGCTTGATCAGACATTTCAGAGGGCAGACATTGCTTGGACCTGGAGTCACGTGTAGGCCCGATTTTCTAATGAATGAACCAGATGGTTTTAATGACAATTGATGACAGTTTCATGTTCACCGTCACTGAGAGTAGATTTCAATTCTAGAATTATTAATTGAATTTAAATTCCACTGTGGTCTGAATGGAATCTGTGTTCCCAACTCATTCGTCTGTATTACTAGTGCTAGGGAACATTATCTCCCTGCCACCATGTCTCCTGAGTCTCTATGTGATTATTATAGTGATGGGGCTATTTAGGAATGTGTCTTTCTCGCACTATGGGGTACCAGAGGCTTGTTTAATCACTATCAGAAGTCAGAGAGGAATTCCCCTTTTCTTAGGTTTCCTTTCCTATAAGATCATTTAAACCCCAAGACCATAAGAAATTAGTCATATTGCGTCGGAAACAGACCCTTTGGTCCAACCAGTCTATGCCAACCATAATCTTAAACTAAACTAGTCCCACCTACCTGCACTTGGCCCATATCCCTCCAACCATGTACTTATCCAAATGTCTTTTTAACATTGTATTCACTGGTATTAACCGATATCCACCACTTCCTCTGGAAGTTTACTCCACATACAAACCAATCTCTGTGTAAAAAAAAAAAAAAAAAAAAATTATCTCCATGTCTTTTTAAATTTTTCTCCTCTCACCTTAAAAATATGCCCACTAGTCTTGAAAGCCCCCATCCTAGGGAAAAGATACATGCTATTCACCTTATCTATACCCTCATGATTTTATAAATCTCTATAAGGTCATCCTCAATCTCCTATGCTCCAGTGGAAAAAAGTCCAGCCTATTCAGCCTCTCCTTATAACTCAAACCCTCCATTTCCTGGCAACGTCCTTGCAAATCTTTTCTGAACCCTCTTCAGCTTAATAATATCCTTCCTATAACAGGGCGACCAGAACTGGACACAGTACTCCAGAAGAGGCCTCACCAGCATCCCGTCCAACCACAACATGATGTCCCAATTCCTATACTCAAAGGTCTGAGCAATGAAGGCAAGTGTGCTAAATGCCTTCTTAACCACCCTGTCTAGATGAGATGCAAACGTCAAAGAATTATGTACTTGAACCCGTAGGTCTCTCTGTTCTACAACATTACCCAAGGCTCTACTTTTAATTGTATAAGAGCTGCCCTTGTTTGTTTGACCAAAATACCTCACATTTATCCAAATTAAACTCCATCTGCTAACTTCTCAGCCCATTGACCCACTGATCAAGATCTCTTTGCAGTCTGAGATACCATTCTCCACTATCTACTACACCACCAATTTTAGTGTCATCTGCAAATTTACTAACCATGCTGTCTGTATAGGAGCAAGAGTGGGCCGTTCGGTCCCTCAAGCGTGCACTGTCATTCAATAGAATCGTGGCTGGTCTGACTTTCCTAACATCCACATTCTTGCCCTTTCCCCATAAGTTTCCTATTGATCAAGAATCTGCCTGTTCTGTCTCTCCGGAGTTGCATGTTGTAGGTTGTATGGTCTTTTGGTGCCAGCATTGGACTGGTCTGATAGAACCTGCTGTTCTTTACCTATTCCTTGTTTCTAGCTAACTTTTATAAGTTTGTAATTAATTATTCTGCTTCTTTTCCAGGAGATGAGAACAGCCGCAATAGCCAGACCACTGGAAATCAACGAGACTGAGAAGGCACTAAGAGCTGGAATTAAAGAAATTATAGTGAGTGAGCTTTAGATACAGACAGGTTAGTTATATGGGCAGCACAGTGGCAGATGCAATTTAATCTGCAGTGGTTCAGAAGCAGCTCACCAACACTTAAAGTGCAATTAGAGACGTGAGGTAAATGCTGGCCAGCCAGCGATGCTAACAATCAATGAGTGAATTAAAAAAAAGACCTGTCTTCAAAACAAATTAGAGTCCTAAGAAACCTTTACAGAATTTATATATTGATGTTTACTGTATTTTTTTTAATCTGGACTGAAAACGATATTAGGGCCCATGAAAATTGAAAACATAGGGAAGATTTTGTTTTGGAAACTAATCATGAACCTGAGTAATTGTTGCTATCAGTAGCAAATTTTGATAATGTCCCACTGACCTCCTTCAAAATATTTACCTTCTCTACTCCTCCCAAATTACTTTCCCAGAAAGCAATATATTGGAGGGAGGGGTACCTGGAGGACTTGGGTTTCCTGCGCAGATTTGCTGTATTTTGGAGTGATATAAAAAAATTCATGTATACTTATGAAACAATTTGTAGAAATATCCAGTGCTGACCTTGGTTACTTTTTCTTAAGTCCCTCTTCTTAACTTAAGTAAAAAAGGAGTGCTATATGGTTGAAGGTACTGTCCTTCAGATAAAATGTTAAACTGAGGCTCTGTCTTTCTTCCCAGATGAATAAAGAAGACCTCATATCACTATATTTTAAAGAGGATCAGAGGTGGTCTCCCTTGTGTCCTAACCAATATTTCTTCCTCAGTCAGCAGCTCAAAAATACATTATCTGGTCATTACTGCATTGCTGTTCGTGGCAGTTTGTTGTGCAAATTGGCTATGCAGTGCCTACATTACAACAGTAACTACGTTTAAAAAGTACTAAATTTTTTGCAAACCACTTTTGGATGTATGGCGATTGTAAAAAGTGTTATATAATTTCAAGTCTTTTGTTCTTTTCTGTATTTTTTGGTTTCAAACTGATATTTGTGGAAATTGAAAGCTAAGTCAGCCTTTATGTATAATGACAGAGCTTCCAGTTGGGCAGGTACTTCCTACATTCTGATTTTTGTGCTGTTTCACCCTGGGAGCAATTGCCAAATTTAATTGGTGGATATTTTGTGAAAGCTTATTTGACCCTTTTTCAAAACACACAATATTTTGTTGCTGTTTTTGTTGCAGGAACAAGTGCAAAGGACCAAGGAAATGCTGAACAATGTTGCCTCTGATGAAGCAAACCTGGAGGCTAAGATCGAAAAGAAGAAGATGGAGCTGGAGAGGAGTAAGAAGCGGCTGCAGACCTTGCAGAGTGTCAGGTCAGATTCGGAAACAACTTGGTGTAGTGTTTTGATCTGTGCATGGACTGTTATGTTGCCAATTGCAACCTTGCTGTTTCTTTCATGGACTTTCCAATGATAATGGGTGTATGTCGTGCAGGCTAGTAATTTAGAATAGCTTCACTTGAAGGAGTTGACGGATTGGGAAAGTGTAGTATCTTTGAGGAATGGGGCAGTGATGGCAATAGACAGTAATCAGCAGGAGATTTCCCTGTCCATGTTTGACCTAAAGCCAGGAGACCTCATTGACTCAATGTTCACTCCCAGGCACCTCCAGTCCTCAGTGGCGTCAACTGTGGTGGGTTTGTCTTGTTAGTTGGGTAGGAAATACCCATGGATGGTGATGGTGTCTGGGAGATTGTAAGTCATGACAAATCTCCTAATTTTGGCACAAATCATCAGATCATCATCAGGAGGACTTTTCACGGTCAGCAAGACTAGATTTGTGATGCTGAGATTGCACTAGCTGATCTGTCCAGTTTCATTCCCTCCTTTAGATGTTATAGACTTTATAGCTGTTTGATACAACTGATAGTCTTGCAAGGCTATTTCAGAGCGCAGTTAAGAGTAGGAGTTATTTCTTTGCAGGTGCCACTTGTTGGCACTGTCAATGACCCCCTCCATCACTTTGCCAATGATCGAAGTGGCTGGTAGGATCGTAATTGACCCGATTGGATTGTCTTTCTTTTTATGCACAAGACATACCTGGGCAATATTCCTCATTGTCAAGTAGATGCCACTGTTGTAGCTATACTACAGTAGCTTGGTTAGAAATACTGCTCGTTGTGGAACACAGCTCTTCAGTGCTATTGCCGGAATGTTATTAGGACTCTTCACCGTTGCAACATCCAGTGTTTTCATCCCTTTCTTGATATCATGTAGCGTAAATCAAATTGAAGAATGGTATCTGTACCAGAATCTGCACTACATGCTGTGCCCTCACCTTATTGAAAATGGGGATATCTGTGGGACTTCCACCACCTGTTAGTTGTTTAATTGTCCACAATGACCTGATGTGGTAGGACTGAAGAGCTTAGATCAGATGCATTGGTTGTAGAATTGCTTGACCCTATCTATTGTATGCTGCATCAGCTACTTGGCATGCAAGTAGTCCTATATTGTAGCTTCACCAGATTGACACTTCATTTTAAGTGTGACTAGTGCTGCTCCCCGCATGTTCTCCTGTTCTCTTCATTGAATCAGGGTTGATTTCCTCGCTTGATAATGATTGTAGAGTGGATTTAAGCTAGGCCATGAGGTTACAGATTGTGTTTAAATGCAGTTATGCCAAGCTATTGGCCCATAGTGTCTCATAGACATTCACCTTTTAATTGCCAAATCTGTTCGACGTCTTTTCGCATCAAGCATGGTAGTAGTGCAACACAGCATGATAGAGTGTATTGTCATTGTTAAGATGAGACTTTATTTCTTCAAGGATGGTGCAACAATCACTCCCACCAATGTTATCATGGATGGATGCATCTGCAACAAGTAGATTGGTAAACTAGAGGTCAGGTATATTTTTTCCATCTTGTTGGTTCCTCACCACCCAGTCTGATTGCTGTGTCCTTTAGGACTCTGCCAGCACTCAGTATTGATGCTACTGAGGCACACTTCAGGATGGACATTGAAGTCCTCCAACCAGAGTATGTTCTGTGCCCTTGTCACTCTCTGTGCTTCCTTCATGTGATGTTCAACATTCAGATGTACTGATTCATTAATCAAGGGAGGTTGGTAGATAATAATTAGCAGATTTTCTTCTCCATGTATGACCTGTAGTTATGAGACTTCATGGGTTTCAGAATCAAAGTTGAAGAATCCCAGTGCAACTCCTTTCTGACTGTGTCACCACAGTGCTGGCACATGCAGTAGGTCTGTCCTATCAGTGGGAACGTGACAGACCTAGAAATAATGATGGTGTTGTCTGGGAGATCATTCATCTGTGAGTATGACTATGCCAGTTGATCCATCCAGTTTTATTCCTTTGTAGCAGTTTGATACAACTGAGTTGTTTGCTTAGCTATTCAGTGGGCATTTAAGAGTCAGCCGCAATTGCTGCAGGTCTGGAGGTCACAGGTAGGCCAGACCAGGTAAGGATGATAGACATTAGTGAACCAGATGAGTTTTTAATAGTGAATCAGAGATAGTAGGAACTGCAGATGCTGGAGAATCCGAGACAACAAGGTGCAGGGCTGGATGAACAGGCCCGAAACGTCAGCCTTTCTGCTCCTATGATGCTGCTTGGCCTGCTGTGTTCATCCAGCCCTGCACCTTGTTGTCTCGAGTTTTTAATAGTACTTGAAGTGGTTACATGATCACGATTAGGCGAGCATTGAATTTCAAATTTTATTGAATTCAAATTTTACCATCTGCTGTGGTTTGATTTGAACCCATGTTCCTTCAATATTAGACTGGGCTGCTTGTTTAAGAGTTCAGTGACATTACTACACTACCATCTCGCCCTATTTTACTATTCCTTCATCATCACTAGGTCACAATTCTGGACATCCCTACCTAATCACACTACAGGTTTCCTTACGTTCCAAGGACTGCAGCAGTTCAAGAAGACAGGTCATTACCAGATACTCCAGGACTACAAGAATGGGCAATAAATACTGATCTAGCCGATGACACACACATCCCACAAATTAACTTAAAAAAATTCAGATAGGAATCAAAAGTAGTCAGAAGATTTGTGGAAATAGGTACAAGAACAAATTTATTAAAATTGGTGGGGTTAGTAGTATAAAATAAGTGCGGCATTTGATGTGTTCATCAAAATCATTCAGCATTAAGCTGCTTGCCGTCAACGTCCCACATCACTGCTAGCCAAAGCCAAGAATTACAAAACTATAAAGTTGGAGTGAATTATTCCCACTGTAACATGCTTGGCAATGCTTGGCTGGTAATGGTGGGAAATAGAATTTGATTCCATAAGTCTGCTGATTTTTAATCTCCCTTTCAGTTCTCTCTAAACTGTGATTTTTGCACATTGGAACAGAGAAATTATTTGCCATAATGTTAACATCCATGTGTAAGTTCAGAGATATGCACTGTTATGTGACATATTCATTATATATGCTTGTGTGGAGAAATGCCTCAGTATGGTAGACAATTTTGCAATTGTGACATTTATAAGAACAGTGCTTGTTTTAAGTTTCCTTAGCTGGTGGGCTGATGTTCCAAACAAATAAAATGGTTCAGATTTTTCAGTGATCCTAAATGATTTGATCTACTTCCCATTGGTTGGAAAGCAACATGAGAAATTGCATACCAATAAAACTACCACTCAACTGGATTTGATCATCTGATCTGCCATTTCCTACAGGACAATTAGGTGATTAGAGAACTCTGGCGATTTAAATTGATTTGTATTTTTGAATGGAAAGTCTTTTGATATCTTGTATCGTCAGGCCAGCTTTCATGGATGAATATGAGAAGATTGAAGAGGAGCTCCAGAAACAATACGAGACCTATGTGGAAAAGTTTCGTAATTTGTGCTACTTGGAGCAGCAGCTTGAAGACTTGCACAGGATGGAACAGGAAAGGTTTGAGGTAAGTGATTCAGAAATTTTATTTAAAAATAGAATTATTAGTTATAATAATTGTTGAATGTGTGGGTCTTTATCATGTGACTATACTGTCGCAACCAATACTTGGATATTTCCCTGTTTCTCAGGAAACTGAAAATACACTACGGCTGATGCAGAATAAATTGAAGGAGGAGGAAAAGAGGCTTATGAAAAATACAGGTAAAATGAAACTCTGTTGTGTTTTTCTGTTAATTGTCTCAGCTATTTCAAATATTTTTGCTCTGACAGTATAAGTCCAGCAGCATCTGATTATTGGACAGAAGAGGTAACCTGTGTGTAGCCAGCTGACTGATGATCACCCATTGTTTCTAGGAGTTGGACAGAGTAAACTGCCATAATTCAGAAAGTGCAGAATATATTGCATATGCATTGCATATGTCTGTGGTAATATGCTGGTATTTCTGGTGGGCAGTCTTTTATTGTGTAATATATAATTTATGTAGTGTACGTATGGATCACATTTCCTACAAAATAAGTTTCATAAGTTTTACGTGTGCCGTGAGGCATTTTGGGACCTGAAATCGAGAAAGGTAAGAGAGATATACACATTTTAATGTTCCCAGCTCTGAAGCTGAGAGACATTCATAGGTACCAGATTTTTAAAACTGTCAATGTGTGAAATTTGAGTTTGTGCCTCAGTCTGGCAGGGCTCAGTGAGCAATTGTTCTAGCCTCAGTTCAGTTTCTATCCCAATCTTGTCTGCTGGAATGCTGCTTTGTAATGTGAAGGGAGCACAAGGGGTGAGTGACTTTGCACTGTGGATTCATCTTTCACTATAGTTCTGTGTACTGGGATCCCCTTTACAGCTTGTTCACCGACAGGCTGGCTGAACAATTGTAACCTTGATTCAGGAGAGGCACACACTCTGCTCTCTGTAGACCCAAAATGTAATAAAAGCAAGTTGCAAACTTCTGTTTTCTCAGGTACCATTTCCCTCCCCTTCAAATCTATGATCATCAGCCCCCAAACCCTTTCTTCTTGTAAACTATCACCCTCACCCTGAACCTTCCATTCCTTTCCATGCATTCTTTCCAGGAATTTCATACTTGAATGGCTTCCATTGGATTTTCTCTCTGCCAAACTGGCAGGGCTCCTGTCATAGTTACACGTGACTGTGACAAAGGTAAACTATCCTTCGTCCTTCTCGATCAGTCTTCAGGCTTTTAGAATCATAGAATCCCTACAGTGTGAAAGCAGGCCATTCAGCCCATCGAGTCCACACTGCCTGTCCAAAGAGCATCCTACCCTATCCCTGTAATCCTGCATTTTCCATAGTTAATCCCCCTAGCCTGCACATCCCTGGACACTATCGGCAACTTAGCATGGCCAGTCCTCCTATCCTGCATATGGAGAGAGTTGACCATTCCATTCTCTAGCATAGCTCTGCTGCCGTCCACCTGGTTAGAACTGCAATGCAGTAGTTCCACGCTCACCTGGTTCCCTACTTTTCCATATCCAATTGTAGCCAGTAAATCACCTTTCCATTGCAAATCAGCTACGGTTGATGTCCTGTAAGGATCCTTCATTGGACCCTTCCTATTTCCCATCCACATATTGCCCCCGTGGTGACCACATTCAAAAAATATTTTTACATGTATTCTGGTGAAACCCCACTCTACTTCACCATACCTGTCACAGACTGTTGTTGAGACTGCCTATGTCCAACATTTCCTGAACTCTGCACCATCCTAGCTAATTTGCTCCTGAAACTCCTGTCCATGCTTTTGTTATCTCTAGACTTGACTGCACCAAAGCATTGATAGATGGCCTTCTATCTTCCACTCTTCAAAGACTTAAGCTTATCAAAAGTTCTGCTGTCCACGTCCAAACTTGCACCAAGTCCTGCGTACTCATTAAGCCCCTGCTGTTGGCTCAGTTTTAAGCAGCGCATCAATTTTAACTATCTTAACCCTCCATTAACATTCCAAATCCTCTATGAATTCACTGTCGTCCTCCAAGATGTCTATACTTCCATTTTAATCACTTCTCTATTGACAGCCATGTTTTCAACTGTTTGGTCCATAAACTTCCTAAATCCCTCTTCCCTATTTTAACACTGCTTGAAATCTATCTGTTTAAATAGGCTTTTCAGGACCTTTCCTAATATCTCCTTGAGTGGTTTGGTATTAGGTATTCTTATTAATGCTCTTTAAAATGTTTTGGGACTTTTACTGTGTTAAAGGTGCTATATAAATACAGATTGCCAATACTAACAAACTTCTACCTCAAAATAGGGAAAGATGATGATTCTGACAATGAGATACAGGAAGATGAAGGCTCGGATAGTGAACTAGAAGACAGAAGACCACTAAAACCACGTCTTACCAGGGAACTGCCTGTTCAGGGTATGTGGTGTTGCCTTGCTTCAGGGAGGCTTTATTGACAGCTATTCTAAATTAACTTAGCATTAAGGCTTCAAGCACATTGCTTTAGATTCCTGTAGAGACCATGGGCAAGCACTGTAATATTATGGACACTGTATGATGGTTGATGAAGCTGCTGCAAATGGTAAGTGCAAAGTGCTAAAACAACTATGCTATATTCTTATCTTCCATAATTCCAAATGTTTTCTTTCCTAAATGACCGAGTAGTTCCCTATGCAGTTAAATAAGTGTCTGGCGATGCTGCTTAATTTACGGTTTTGTCTCAAGTATTTATTCCAATCTGGCTTCTGTCCATTCAGATCTTGGACAAAAAATCCCAAAAGGTTGTAGGTGCAGAAATCTGAAATTCTGAAAAGGAAACAAAATTCTTGGAAATACACAGGTCAGGCAGCTTCGATGGAGAAAGAAACAAAGTTAACATTCCAAGTTTGTGACCTTTCTTCAGAAGCTTGAGATCTCCCTGGCTTCTAGTTTCAGATGGAACCATTTCCACTCTGCTTAATCTTTTCTTGGAGCTCGAGTGCTTTACTAATCCAACTTTTTGGCCCACTGCAAAGCTTGTAGTGCCTTATAGAATCCTCCTATAGGATCTACACCGACCCTCAGAGCATCTCACCCAGACCCATCCCACATAATCTACGCATCCCTGAACACTACGGGCAATTTCCCATGGCTAATCCGTCTACCCTACACGTCTTTGGACTGTGGAAGGAAACCAGAGTACCCGGAGGAAACCCACGCAGACCCGGGGAGAATGTGCAAACTCCACACAGACAGTCGCCTGAGGGTGGAATCGAACCCGGATCCCTGGTGCTGTGAGGCAGCAGTGCTAACCACTGAGCCACTGTGCAGAAAACAAACCTACCCACGTGTGTACCAGTGCCTAGAATGCTGTACTGAGTCACTGCCCTTCAACATATTGCTTCAATGTCACTGTTAATCATTTCCATTAAAGATCTGCTTTTAATCCAAGGAGATCATCCATTTTCTGTAATTAATCTTAATGCTATCATCCTGTAGACGCAGATAATTGTACCATCAGTGATCCTACCTGAAATGGTCTAGATGCTCAGTATCCCATTATGGTACTAAGTACATTGGCCTGTGGTAAAGTGACTTTGTCAGGACCTTAGTGGACGATCACATACCAAACTTGTATATTATGAGATGTGAATATTGACATAAGAAACTGGCCTTTCTCTGGATAACAGTTTATCCAATCTGAGTGATCAGTGCTTGCAGAGGCTAGGCAAGTACTTAACTCTTAATTAATTGACGCGGGATCCATTGCGTAGGTTCAAGCCTTTCTAAAGGGTAACCCTTGTTCTCTCATTACCCTCGTTCTTCAATCATGTTATTTATTTGCTCACCAAGATTCTGATTTAGGATTCAGCTTGCAGTTAGCATTTCTTCAAGGAATGTTGTTTATCTTTTGAGATTGTTCAGCCCACAGCGATTGTATGATCCAGTTTGAAAGAATTTTTACAATTCAGTGGATTTCATTAACCTTAAACGTCAGTGCTTTAGTAATGTCCCTTGTTGCAAAAGGATTGAAATTTGTGTTACCTTTTAAATTCATGGCTGCCTCCTCACACTGTCCTGTAAACTGTGCCTGCATTTTTACTGACTTAAAGGTTTGATTTTTGCTTAGTCAGTGAACTTTGCAAATTGGAATGTGCTCACCACTTTCAGGCACAAGGTTCACAATGTTCAGATTTTTGTATTTTCTTAAGACTCAAAAACAATAAGATGGCTGGATGTACCACTCTAAATAAATCAATTTAACATTTACAGGCAGAGTTGGTGGTCGCGTGGTTGGGACAATGCACGGAGGTGACACTGAGGATGAGGTGAGAAGCTACAGCTTGTTTAGATTCATATGTTTTGTGATCCTGTAGTACTTTGCAGATTTGATGTTAATGGCACTTTGGTGGATTATAAGCAGCCTCCGATCCTTTTAAAAGTGATCAAGGTCATCCTGCAGTGCAACCAGTCTTTTGCCTTCAATGGAATGAATGGCCACAAGTTCCTCAGTGAGGGAAGTGGACATTTGGAAGCTTGGAGAATGGTGGCTCTTTGCCAAGAAAGCAATCTGACAAATAAACTTGTATTAGCACATATTTTGTCACATTCAGCATGTGCCTAAGAGTTATGAAAATGATTTGAGGAACCCAGATACAATCTTCCAGCAGTTTTGTATAGTTTGCTGATGGCTTCCTTATCATCCTCGTCATTTGCTATTGATTTTGTTTTGCTGTTGTCAGCTCACTTTCTCAGTGGGTGGTTTTCCATTTGCTGTGATGGTTGTGTGTTTTGGCTTGTCCTGCTTTCCCCATCCTTTCTCGTGTTTTGGACAATTTCAGCCCGTAAAACTACATCTACTTTCACATTTATCAACTCCAAAGGACGGGAAAAGCTATTTGTGAGCTAGATTACAGTGGCATGTTCAGTGTTTGGAATTGTTGAAAGCTTTTAGTTATCAGTAACTTATACAGACTGCTGTGTAGAGAAATGAAATGACATAACCAAGCCTCAGACTTGCTACTTTTATCAATGGCTTTTCGTTTTTTTTTGAGTTTAAATCTGCTTTTCTTTCTTCTGTTGCTTTCCATTATTGCTTTCATAAAGCTTCAAACATTATATGCTCAGTCAAAGGAAGCCGAGAATTCCAGCAGCAGCAAGGTTGGTTCAGCTATAGAGACTTGCGTTTCATTTATTGCTTTAGCTCATTCTCCAGTTATTGTTGTTATACATTGATAATGGCCCAATATACAGTAGTATCCGTTGGTGCTCAATTCCATGATTAATAGTCAATGTGCTATCATGAACCATGTATATGCAATTTGTTATACTGAGAAATGTGCCTCATTCAAGCAACATAGAAAATAGGAGTAGGCCATTCAGCCCATTTAAAAACTGCTCCACCACTCATGATCATGACAAATCATCCAAGTCAGTTCCTTGTTTCTGTTTCCTCATGCCCTCTGATCCTTTCAGCCCCAAGAGTTATAGGTTGCAAACAGTGAACGTTTTAGCTTCAATTGCTTTCTATGGCAGAGCATTTCACAGGTTCACCACTCTCTGGGTGAAGAAATTTACCCACCTCTTGCATTCCTGTACTGTGACCCCTGGTTCTGGACTCTGGTCATCATCCTTCCTGCATTTATCCTTTCTAATCCTGTTGCAGGTTTGAGATTTCCCTCTCACTCTTCAAAACTCATGAATATACAGTTTTTAAACTGATCCAGTGTCTCTTCATATGTCAGTCCTGCCATCCCAGAAATGTCTCGTGAGCCTCTGTTGCACTCTTACAATAGCCAGAACATCCATCCTCAAGACCAAAACTACATAGTACTCATTGAGATAGTAGGAACTGCAGATGCTGGTGAATCTGAGGTAAAAAGGTGTAGAGCTGGATGAACCCAGCAGGCTGAGCAGTATCAGAGGAGCAGGAAAGCTCACGTTTCGGGCCTAGACCCTTCTTCAGAAAAAGGGTCTAGGCCTGAAACATGAGCTTTCCTGCTCGGCCTACTATGTTCATCCAGCTCTACACCTTGTTATCTCTAGTACTCATTAAGGCTCTGTAGAATTTTAGCAAGGTATCCTTGTTTCTGTGCTTGCATCCTCCCACTTCAAAGGCCTACTGTCATTTGTAGTCTTCACAACTTGCTGCTCCTGCATTTATACATTGTCTGTCACTGCTCTGACGGCAAAAACAGGAAGGCAAGATTATTGAAGTGCATGACCCCACATTAAAATTCATCTGCCATCCATTTGCCCACATTCTCAGCTTGTTCAAATCACGTGTCAAATGCAAACCTAGGGAAATTGCATATTATAGATGAGAGAACTAAATGTAGAGTGTAGTTGGGGGGGCGGGAGTCCAAGCATTGATCTCTACACTACTCCCTGCTCCCCCTCAAACCAATCATCGATTTAAGGTGGTCAGCAAATCCAACAGCAAAACAAAGAATATTATCTTGCATGTGTTTTTTGATGTAGAATTTTTGTATAGTGTAGGCAGATTCATCCTCAAAATTCCAGTAGATTTGTCAAGCATGCCTTCCCTTTTGTAATTGCATGCTTTGTCTGATCCTGTCACTGTTTTCCAAGTCCCCTGCACTCAAATCTTTTATAAACAGGGCTTTTAACAAAGAGAGCTGTACTATGATATACAGCTCTTGTTACCAGCAACAAAATGGGTGAATGTTCTCACTTTCATAATCATGGAGGAGGGGAGGCTGCTGCTGCAAAAATCTGGCTGATTAGCCCAAGATACTCTGTATATGGCCTGTCCAAATCTTTTGTCATGAGGTGATTGCTGAAGGTGGCACAGGTCTCTACTATTACATGACTAACACCATCTTTTTTCTGTTAATCATTAACAAGTTGTCAAATTTTCACACTTCAGGAAGATTCGGATGACAGTGAAATTGATGTTGAAGATGAAGAGGATGAATATGAAATTGCTGAAGATGATGATGAAAGTATTGATATTCAACCAGAACAGTCGTCAAGTAGAATCCACAAGCAGGACCTTGATGAAAGTGATAATGACTTCTAGTCCTAACCCTGAGCAACAGCTGTGTAGACAATGCTTCCTGATCTTCCTCCAATTCCTTTTGGATCTCCATTATTACAGAAAAGACCCAAACCCTTCACTGCATAACCAACATGTGGAGCTGTTAGAATAGTAGAGACAGCAGGTCCATCTCTGATAAATAGTTAAGTACAGGACACTATTATTAATACTAACAAACATTAATTAAATTTTCTCTTGCCCTGAAGTCAGTCCTTTATTCCAATCCAAATAAAAATCTCCTGAAATGATTATCACTTTAAAACAGGTAACTTTCAGAAATATTCACTTGTTGCAATTTGTAAAGATGTAGCAGATGCAAGTAGGAAAGAAAAAGAGAAAATTAACTGAGCAGATTTAAAAAGTCCAGGTATTGCCATCTAGGATCCCAGAAAAATGGACACTAATCTCAATGATCTTTCATTGAGAGCCACTTTTATATACTCACGATATCTGGATGTTTTATATGCAAAGCAATGACCAGTATAAGTGTAACGTAAGTGGAGAGAGAGCTTTAAGACATTCTGGCACAAAATTGGAAGGAAATACAGTAGGGATTTGTTGAGAGCAAATAGTGTTTAACTAAATTAATTGAACTTTTAAAATGAGATGTACTTTTTTTAAAAAAAAAAAAACCTGTTCAACCATGTGACAGTGTGGGACTTGACCTTCTGGCCCAGTAGAGACGCTATCACTTCAGCACATAATCCCTCTAAAATGAACCTAGTTAGGCATGTTATGACACATTTACACTGCAGGTGGGACTTGAACCATAATCAGGCCTGCTACACTACAGCAGCCCCTTTTTGTTGGCATACACAATTCTATCAAGTGTATTTTGGAAACCTATCAAAGTTAGAGCTCTTGAAATAAACGAGACAGTACCAGCATGGATACGAAATTGACCAAGTTATGAGAAATAGCACTGGTGACTAGGAATAAAAGGGATACATTAGAGTTCCCCAGAAGTTGCAATTAAACATGGGTGCCAATTCCAAAAATCATGACTGATAATACATGAAAGTATTTGAACTAAAGAGGACAGTAATGAGATACAGGTTGCTGGAATGGAATGGCAGATTAAATTTAATGCAGAGATCTGTAAAGACAAACATTTTGCTTGGAATTGAGGTGGGGGGGGCGGGTGGAGGAAATAGAAATTAGAGGGAAGCAGGAGTACCAACCTTTGTGGTATTTGTCAACCCATCTTTGATATGTGCACAAAGTGATTAATGGAGGTGTGTGTGTTCTGGTCTTCATTGCTTTAGTAATCCTATGCCCTATCAAAGTTGTTTTAAAACAAGTTTGGCCTCAGTGGTGTCCAATTTTTGGTATTACTCTTGAAAATGATGCGAAGGTGGAGGATGTCCAGAAAAAGAATGGTTCTAAGGATATGAGGAACTTTTAGTATGGATAGACAAGAACTTCTTCAAAAGAAGAAGAGATTAAAGGGTGATTTGATCGTGGTATTAACTAAACATCAACTTTTTTTTTTTTTTTTTACAAAAAAGGTGACAAATGCAACACCAGGAAGATATTTATGCAGAGTGGTGTAGTCTGGAATGTTTGTATGGTGTAGACCAACACACTTATGGCTTTCAAGATAATTGGATCATTATCTGGAGAGTGGTACCAGGTGTATAGCTCTTGCAAGCTGACAGACAGCATGGGCCAAATAACTCCAGTTGTGCATTCCCAGGATACATCAGACTTATGAATGGAGACAAAAACAAAGTTGCTGGAAAAGCCCAGCAGGTCTGGCAGCATCTGTGAAGGAAAAAAA